AGGGAGGGAGGGAGGGAGGGAGGGAAAGAATAGAGAAAAGAGAAAAGAGAAAAAACGAAACCTTTGCTTCATCTACTCTCCTGAAAACTACTTACTTCTAAAGTATAATCCATCAGTTTCCACCATGAAATGACCAGGTTAGGAAACAAATCTCGTCCCTGACAACATTTCTTACATTGTTCCCCACCTGACAATTGAATCTTTGTCATTAAGCCAATTGCATCCGCTTTGCTCTTCTTCATATTTGAATTGTCTCAAAAAAAAGCTTGCTGGCTCTGTATGGTAACCGTGCTGGAGGCTCCACCCATCTCCTGCTGAACTTTGGGGCATATGCAAATCTAGAGGAGTAGGCTAGGCTCAGTGAGACCATGGAGGTCAGATATGAGAGGTTATTCTGGATTATAATCACATAGTATTTAGCAGTGTGGTTGGTTCGTTGTGGTTGCGTGATAAAAATTCTCTTGAACTGAATTTTGTATTGTAAAATATACATAGAGCTTGGCTGGGCACTGGTGGTTTACTCCTATAATCCTAACTCCTCAGGATACTGAGATCTGAGAATGACAGCTTGTAGCTACCTAGGGCAGGAGGTCTATGAGACTAAGATCTCCAATTAACCACCAAAAAGCCAGAAGTGGAACTGTGACTCAAGTGGTAGAGCACAAGCCTTGAGCAAAAAAATACCTAGTATCAAGGATAGTGCCCAGGCCTTGAATTCATGCCCCAAGTCTGGCTCAAAAAAAATAAAAAAGAAGAAAGAGGAGGAAGAGGAGGAGGAGGAGGAGGAGGAGGAGAGGAAGAGGAAGAAAGAGAAGGAGAAGAAGGAGAAGAAGAAGAAGAAGAAGAAGAAGAAGAAGAAGAAGAAGAAGAAGAAGAAGAAGAAGAAGAAAAGGGGGAGGAGGAGGAGGAGGAAGAGGAGGAGGAGGAGGAAGCAGCAGCAGCATAAAGCCAAGCACTGGTAGTTTACTCCTATAACCTTAGCTACTCAGGAGGAGCATAGCTTGAAGCCATCTGGGCAGGAAAATCCATAAGACTCTTCTCTCCTATAAACCACTAACAAAAGCCAAAGATGGAGGTATTGCTCAAGTGGAACAGCACCAGCCTTGAGCACAAAAGCTAAGGGATAACTTTGAGTTGAAACCCTAGTATCCACACCAAAAAAGAAAGGAAAGAAGGGGAGGAGGATGAGGAGAAAGAAAGAAAGGGAAAAACGGAAGGAAGGAAGGAAGAGATCAAGAAAGACATAGGCCTTTTCAGACTATTCTATAATGTAGTCATAAGCAAAACAAATTGTGAAGCATAATAAATATTTCCCTACCTGTCTCCTAAAAAGTAAAATAATTTAAAAGGCGATAATAACCACAGAAGTTCATCATAGAATTTTTTCTTTAGGCCTTTATAAATACTTTTGGCTTTTAAGTATCTGCCTGTTTTGCAAGATTGATCACCACTTCAAACATCAACCCTGGGATTAAATTTAGAATCCTCCTGGGAGTATGTGTGTACGTGTGTGTGTGTGAGAGAGAAAGAGAGACAGGCAGGCAGACAGACAGACAGACAGACAGTCAGACAGAGAGAAAGAGAGACAGAGACAGAGACAAAGAAAGGCAGAGAGAGACAGACAAAGGATTTGCATGTGCACGCTATAAGTGTGTTGCTTGAAGTGCATATTAAAGTCACTTTTTTATAACTTGGGGACAGTAGTAGATTTGACAGATTACATATGGCGCCTATCAATGGAAGACAGCTTGTGGAAGATCATAAACACATTTTTTAGAAAGAATCGTTGCAGCCATGAACACACCACGTGGACATCCCTTCCCTAAGGTTTGCTTCTTTAATTGTAAATAGCCAGAAAGTCATCAAGCCAGAGTTTAATAAACTTTTAATTTGAAATGAATTACCACATGTTGTGTGTGTTTACCCATTATTAAATCTCTTAGCAACGTATCAGTGGCAGAAACAGCATACTGTACCCCAGCCCTGATATATTAGAAAACAAACCCAAGGGGGATATTAACTGCTAATAACATACTTAGGAGCTTCCAAGAAAAATAAGCAAAGACAAGCGGTAGTGAAGGCATGCATTCGAAGAGCTTTTGATCTTGTGTTTTGTATAAATCTGTTCTGAATAGTGGCATAATTAGGTGCCTCTATGGTCTTTGACTGTTAGGTTTCAATCAGTCTCTGAGCTCAGGGCAGAGCAGAAGAGCAATCATGTTTTCCAGAAACACGTTTCTAAAGCATAAAAGATGCTTCCCCTCGCAATGAACATTCTCATACTGAATGCATAGGTACTCACGTTTCCTGGGGTACCACTTGTTCTCCTTTGAGGTAAACTGGGGGCACCCTTCAATTAAGTTCATAGCACAACACAGTAGATGTAGGGAAATATAGCCACGTACCCTGAGGATAAGCTAGAAAACAAAAAAATGATCTGGTAAAAATGGTTTAGGAGTAATTGCTTCTAATCTTTCACTCAGTATCCTAGAACTAGGTTAAGATGTCAGAAACACTGAAATATTGGAAGCTCACTTTCTCAAAAGTTAAAAAGTCTAAAATAAGATTTTTAGCTCCATGCTTAATCCAGAAATACTAAGAAAAAGTAGATGACCAAAAGAAATTTACTTTACAAATGCACATATTTTACAGTATCTCACCTAGCAGGTTTACAGTTGACTTTTGAACTTGACATTAAAACAAAAATAAGTGACAGTCTTTTTATCCTTTGACCTGAATGAAACCATAAGCATTCCATTTACATTTATTGCTTAATGTCTCTTAGGAGTATGAGCATCACCCATCAGAGAAAAGTTTTAGAGACTTATTCTTCCTCTTCTACATCTTAGATGGCCACTGTCTTGTTCCATTTTTTATGGGTATAATTGAATTTCTGAGCCTGGGTAATCTATGAACACAAAAACCTTGTATTTACAGGTATGAGGCTGAGACATCGAGGTCCAGGAACCACATCAGTTGGGGTCTTCTTGCTAGGGGCTCTCCATAAGTTCCCTAGATAGCATAAGGCATCACAGAATGAAGGGGGTTTTAAGGAATACACAAACTGCCTTTTTACATGAGCCAGGCTCATTTGTCTAATAATCTAATAACAATCATCAGTCATCATGCTCTCAAGATGCATCAATTCTTAAAGGTCCTATTCCTCAACACTGAGGCAGGGAGCAAGTTTCAAACATGTGCCTAGTAAGGGACAGACTCAAATCACAACACTTAGGTTGCATAATAGAGACGTTCATATGAAAGGGATTTGCACATAATAAGCACATCCCAGACATTCCTATTAAAAAGCCTAGTGGGAATAAAAAAAGACCTAGAGAAGTCATTCTCCTGGAGACAGATGAACAGGAATCAACCACAGGGCCCATGAATAACCTCACCAAAACTTCCTGCTGAACAAGTTTGGAACCAGGTGAACTGCAATAATGGCTGGTATATGATGAGGAGTTCCTTTGATGACACTCTCTGCTCTTTATCAGCTGTAAGGTCTTGGGTTTATTGGGGTACCCTCTACCCATCCCCCCTATCTTCTGCAGCTACAAAGAAATCAAGGGCAAGTGACAAGTCATGTGCTTCCATCAAGTCTCTTGATAACGGGGGGCATCACCTAATTTTAATATAGACTGCATTTCTTATTTATTTTCACAAACACTCCTTTAATGCCAGTAACATATAATTTGATATTTATATAATCTATAAAATTCCAACACATTTACATACGTATGATACTACAAAATGACACTTTGTTTCCATAAGAAGTGGTTCCTTGGTAATCATTGGCTGATGATCTTGTCTCAGCCACAAGGAACGTGAGGGTTTCTTATGGACCTATCCCTTAGAGAAGCAGAGACTCTAGGAATTTAGCCTGACAATAGGTAAAGTTATATTCAGCATTGTAAGGCATAAACTCCCAGGGAGTTGTAAAACTCCATTCACAATTTCAGAAATATGTTTCTCCCTCTATGAAGCCCTTTGTTGGCCAGGCAGAACAAAACAGGGAGGTAGAGGTCACACTGGAAGTGAAGTGGTGTGGGTTGTGGGTCTGGCCATGATGGCAGGCAGTCAACATTCTGCTCCTGAATCTATGCTATTGCCGGGATCTGAGCCCTCAGCCTGGAACTATCTTTGCTCAACATACCTTCCTAGTAGAGCTCAACATCTCAATGATTTCAGCTAGAATCTTTATGTTTATGCTTCATTAGTGGGTCTATCCTTCCTCCACAATGCCCACTTCCTCGTCTGAGTTTCATATTCATGTCCTTGATGCTCTCCTGAACATTGTTTGGAAAGAAAAATCCTGAAAACTCCATCTCTAAGAAGATCAGCAGAAAGCCAAGATGAAGGCATGGCTCAAGTGCTAGAGCACCAGCTAAAGCAAGCCAAGCAAATGGGAGGTCTTGAGTTCAAACTCTAATACTACCTCCTGAAAAAAATGCATATGTAGTTTTATTTAATATAACACAACTTGAAATGCTATTCATAGAATTTAAAAGTTATAAACAACTCATTTATTTTGTAGCCATTCTGTTTCATCTTGAGTACTTCAAAAATTTACACTTGCTTGAGCTTTGTCACTGCTCCGAGTCCCCCCGTTCTACTTTGGACTCAATCTCTTTTTTGTAATGCCTGTTGTGGGGCTTGAACTCTGGGCCTGGGCACTGTCCTTGAGATCTTCAGCTCAAGGTTAGCCCTCTACCACTTGAGCCACAGCGCCACTTCCGGTTTGGGAGATAAGAGTCTCATAGACTGTATTGCGGCTTTGAACTTCCATCCTCAGATCTCAGCCTTCTGAGTAGCTAGGATTTCAGGTGTGAGCCACCGGCGCCCGGCTCTCAACATTTTTAACTCTCTTGTTTCCAGACATTCTCTCCTCACCTAAAATTCTCCTAAAACCTACTAGAGCTATCTATCCAAAGTTGAAATTGGAACATATCAGCCTTCTTCCTTCAGTGGCTGCCTACTTAATATCAATTTTTGATCTGACATACGTGCAAAAAAGATGGAGAAATTTTTTTAATACTAGAATCTTATATATAAATTAATTGTCTACCAAAAGCAGGGGGAAATATATTTTTTTGAACATTCACTGCCCAAGAAAACCAAATTATAAATGAATTACTAATGATTCACTTCAGAAATAAGAATGGAGTCAAAGTGAAGACAGGCTATATTCAAAATACCAAAAAGCACAGATATTGGTTGGATGTGATCATAACTTAATTTTCTATTAAGAGTACAAAACCACTTAAATTTTGCATTGAATTAAAACTATGGACTGAAAGTAGAGCCCATAATAGCAAGAGCAAGTTGGGCACTCAAGTAGGGCACTTCAAATGTACTTGCCCCAACTAGGAAGAGAACAGAAATCTGGAATGGACTTAGACTTTTTAAACGAGTCACCGACCCTGAGAAGAGGCAGATTGGGCTCCAGCATCCACTGCTGCACAAATGTTCTTCTCCATTTCTTTCTCTGAGGTCCCAGACGTATCAGCCATATCAAATTTTTCTCCCTCTGCTTCTGCTACACCACATACTGGAAATTCAGAGGGAAGCTGAGGATGGCTTCCAAGCTTTTGCTGATCATCCACATGTAAAGGAAGTTCAATTACCTATTAAGAGATAAATCTGTTATGAAACTGCTGGCAATGTTATACACATGCACACATACATACATAGTGAACTTTCCTCTAGGACAATAAGAACATTAGAAAGGTCAATCAATAATGAAGTCAGTTTTTCAGACTTTAGAGGCTTTGGTTTGATTATGTTACAAAGAATGATTTCTATGTATTTATCAATTTAGATAAGCACTTCAGGTATTGTTATGTGCTCTATAAATTTATGAGGATTTTGTTTATATATAGTTATAAACATATAGCTTGCATACACATATATAAGTAAATATATACATTTGTATCATATATTTGATATACATATCTATGCTTTATATACCTTACTTGCATTTATGTATGATATATACGTATACACATACATATATACATATACATATGTGTATATGAATTCACATGTATATATGTGTTTCTATCTATTTATCTCTCTCTCTCTCAATATATATATATATATATATATATATAGTCAGTACTAGAGCTTGAATTCAGGGCCCTAAATTTGCTCAAGTTACTCCACCACTTGAGCCTGATTTGGATATGGCATCTCAAGGACATTCCTGCCTAAACTGTCTTTGAATTATGTTCCTTGAGGTCTCAGCTATGTTCCTCCAGGACCCTCCAGGTCTCTGCTGAGAAGCTAGGATTACAGGTGTGAGCCCTCAGTGCCTGCCTAATTTATAATTTTTTTAAATTTTTCCTTTCATTAAAAAAGTTTGCCTAATATTCAGGCTAAAATATTATTAACAAATAGCTATTTAGTATTTATATTTCTATGGAAAACATTTCAAGTTAAAAAATGATATTGTTGACTCTTGTGGTAAGTAAATAAGTGATTACTTGGCAATTTTTAAACTCTTTTCTGTGTGGAAAATTTTAGTAATAAAGTGGTTCCAAAAATAATCCAGACACAAGAAACAAATTGCTCACAAAAAGGAGGAACTGACAATAAACATTTCTTGGGAATCAGTTACCAGCTACCTGGCTTGCATAATTTTCCCTCTTTTTTGTTGACTAATGAGAGACAAAAATCTCTCAAATTCATCTGTCTTGGCTGTCTTCAATCCTCCTTCCTCAGATCTCACCCTTCTGAGTAGTTAGGATTGCAGACATGAGCCATGATGTAATTACTTTCAATGCTTTATGAAGTTTTACTTACCAAAAAAAAATTCAATTGCATGAGATGCAGCTAAAGGCTAGAAAGAAACAGCTTTGGGGGAAAAAAATTTAAATTCTGTTCCACTTGCAAAATCATACTACCAACCTGAAAATAGAGATTACAGAGCCAGTGGTCCAAGTCCTGGCAAATCAAATCTTCAATCTTCCTGAAGCTGTTCAGTGTTCGGTTATAAGTTCCTCAGAGAAGAGGACACTTGAATTTTCCCTCCACTACATGGAAGTTATTATCCCATAAAGGGAAGATTGCCCAGCCTACCAAGGGAGAAAGAATTCAAACAAAAAAGCCAGGCCAGGTTTCACACATCTCATTCCAGGGAGTACCTAGAAAATATACAAGACAAAGGGAGATTGGAATGCTCAGGAAAACTATCATGTGACAGGTATCCAGCATGAGGAACATCCAGTCCCTCCCTCACAAAGCCCTTGAAATCATTTGATATGTAATGGACAGACACAAATGCTTCTCATTCACTACTCTCAGCCATTTGCCTGTTGTGATCATTCTGTATGACCTATGAATCATGTTATAAATATCCATTTGGCCCTGGCAGAGAAAAGATTCCTTTTCCCTGCTAGAGTTAAATAATGCACTGCTTTGTACACCCCAAATCCATCATAGGATGAATTTACACAAACAACTGTTGCAGCCCAAATAACTGAGCAACCTAACTACCAAGAAAGTGGGGCCCAAATAACAAGGCCCATGTTAGACTGGATAGATGATTCTATACTCCATACGCTTTAGAAATCAAGCTTACAGTGGGTTAACTAACTTGACATTCTGTACTTCCATTCCTCTTTGCTTGAGCTGATACTATTGTTCCTAGGGTTAACATGTAAAATTTCCTAAGCTGGACACTTTATCCCCTAATTATATCTGAATAATATTTAAAAGTGGAGCCTTTGGAAGGTCATTAGAAGTACATGCAGATGAAAATCCCAGGAGGAGATTAGTGGCTTTATAGAAAGAAGAAGACTTGAGGTAGCATATCTGCTCTTTCTCACCATGGGATTCCCTTTTGGCAATAATAATAATAATAAGCTCTTACCAGCTATAGGGACAATGCTCTTTAACTTCCCAGCCTGGAGCACAATGCTTCTACTAATGAGTTTACTATTCTTTTTAAATTCCCATGGGTCAAGCATTTTGTTATAGCATCAAAAAGCAGACTAAGACAACTAGATAGCTATTTCTGCTTTCCATTTTTCATTATTTCATTTGTTTATCCTTCATCTTTGTATCACCAGGTGAACTGCCCAGGTGCCTGGCAAAGAATAAATTCTTTGAGTGGAAGAAACTATCACACTCCAAAAAATTTAATCCCACTCATGATGATAAATCTAGTTATTATTACCAGGTCCCAATTAGTAGAGTCTCAGTCTTGTGGCCGTTCTGTTTATTTCAGTTGACATGACATTCCATAAACAATTTGTCAGAGTTAAACAAATTGCAATCAATATACAGACGGATGACATGACAAGATTGTCCAGCCAATCACTCAAGTTTTCAGATGGAGAGACTGACGTGTATCCCTCCGCCTTCAAAAAAAAAAAAAAAGGAGTTCCAGAAGGAAAATACATGAATAATCTTTAAAAGATTATAGTCTTGAATCTCTTAAAATTTTGTTGCACTTTTAAATGGAGAAAAATATAGAGATTTGTCTCAAACTGTTGCTGCAATATATTATTCTGCTGTGTGTGTATATGATGTATATAAATAACTGAAGACCTCATTCAGAAACAAAATGAAACAGAGGCATCTGTTGAAGAATGCTACAACCCTGTGGCAGCTGCTATTAAACCATTAACGGGATCAGGTTTCATTTAAACCAGATTTAGCATTTTCTACAACAGCCCATGGGAAAGCTAAAAACATTAGGCACAAATTACTGACAAAAGAGATCCTTAATCAAGCCGTACTTTTCATTTGGCTAGCTGGTCATGAGTGGCATTCGTAATAAGAGAATGAAAGCTAAGTAAGGAGAAAGAGAAGGAGGGGAAATGGAGTCAGAAACCTGTTTGGGAACGTCTGTGAGTCTGCTATCTCCAATTCACCAATAAAAAGCTGAAGTGGAGCTGTGGCTCAAGTGGTAGAGAACTAGCCTTGAGCACAAAAGCTCAGGGATAGCGCCTAGGCCCTTGGTTTAAGTCCCTGGACACATGAAATAAATGGAATTTCAATGCTATATTAACTTGCAGTTTTAAAATTCATATTGAAGATGATTTAAGAATGTACTTGTAACTATAGAATTTTTCCGGGTTAATCATTGGTTTAATTTGTTTCACATTTATCTTGTGATTCATATATTGGTGATTATCTTGTGATTTACAAATTTGTATTGTGTTGGAATTTGCTGGTAATGAGACTCTATCATGTTCTATTCTGCTTCAGTATAAAATAAATTGTCTAATACAATGTATTCCATAATCAATCACTGTCTTAACTGTAAGTTTTATAAAGTAATCCCTTTATAATGTAATCTATTTTTAATATATTACTATACATTTAGAATAAATATGTATTAAAATTTTTTTAAAAAAACAAAATTGTCAATCACCCCCTTGACAAGTCCAATTCCCAGAGTTCAAACCTGGGCATTCTCAAAAATTTAAATTTAAATAAAATTGCAATGAGTCTATTAGCAAGAAGTCCATCTAACTTTAGCCAGGCAAAAAGTGAAAGTGAAAACTAGGACCTTCCTTGTACTAATTTGGTCTTTTTCAGAAAAATAGCACTGGCAGTTCTACTACTAATTTTGTCATGGTCTTGGATAAGTCATTTCTCCTTTGAAGTGATTAGTTTCTTCATCAATAAAATACAGATTGGACCAAGGCTGTGGCTCAGTGATGGACCGCTTGCCTAGAATATTCAAAGCCCTGGCTTTTTCCTCAGTACCACAAAACTAAAAGCCAAAGCGGAGGTGAATCTTTCCTCATAGAATTGACACAATAACCAGCATAGACCGTGAATGTGAAAATATTCATAATGTTAGAAATGTACATTATTTATTTATTTGGCTTAAGTCTTTATCTCAACTACCTCTAGGATGACTTGGCTAACACTATATTTTCACTAAAAGAACATATTCAAAGTCAAAAGTTTTAATTCATTTTCCTTCCTTCCTTCCTTCCTTCTTTTGTTCTTCTCTTTTTTTCTTCTTTTCTTTTCTTTTCTGTTCTTTTTGTTCCAATCCTAGGGCTTGTACTCAGAGCTTGAACATTGTCCCTGAACATTTTTTTTCTCAAGACAAGCACTTTACCACTTGAGCTACAACTCAACTTCCAACTTTCTAGTGGTTAATTGGAGATAAGAATATCACAGACCTTCCATCCCAGGCTGGCTTTGAACTACAATCCTCAGATGTCAGCCTCCTGAGTAGTTAAAATTACAGGCATAAGCCACTGATGCCCAGAAAAAAGGGGGGAAAAGATTTTTAAACCTGGAAAACATCAGTCTTCTTTGGTGCATTACGAAAAATTATTTGAAGCTACCAGACACTACTTTCAAGCACCATGCAGTACTACCAACACTGTGCAAAAGGAACCCCACATCAATCTATCCTGCAACATGAAGTCACATGTCACCACCCCAATATCCCCGAAAGGAATAGTGTAGAATCATGATGAAACCCTGCCATGGATACTGATTAAAAAGGAAAATAGAATCCATAATTGCTAAATAAATTATATGAATCAGTTATCTGTTATAGGGTTTTGGGTTTGTTTATTTTTTGCTATTTTAGTGCAATTTACTCCCAGTTCTCCTGTTGAAGTAGAGCTCTTTGCATAGCAACATGTAAATTACAACTCCTTTTTCTGCTCTTTGGAAATCATCTCTCTCAGAAGGTCCTTTGCACCAATGGGAACTTTTCTGCAATGATCCCGTGAAGAGACATTTCCATGAGTACTTGTCATTTATAATTTAAAACATGTCAGGAGAAATAAGTGATTCAGTCACCTCCTTGGTCAATACCAACTACCCATGCCATCTCATCATGAAAGTTCTGGTAATTGAAGGTCGTAAGATCCCAGTTTTGTAAGTGCCATGAAAAACAAGCTTTTGGAAGAAAAGAGAGAGCACAGAGATGAATTTCACCACATATTAGGATGACATATTTGATCTACCAGATTAAAAATGTACATGTGAAAGATGAGATGGGAAATCCAAGAAGCAAATAAAAATTTTGAAAGTTGAATGTTGAACAGAGGACCGAAGGAGACAGCACAACCTTTTCTGCCTGGACATCAGATAGATTTATATTACACAATCCAGAGGAAATGATGAACTAGAATAGAAATATACACTCCTAAACATTGTTTGATTTGCTAGTCTTTGTGGAGTTTATGTGGTGATTTTGGTTTTATAATCGGGAAAAGAAATGGTAAAGTGATTTTTTTTAAAGCAGAATGTCTCCACAGTCCTGCTTCTGATTGTAACAGAGATGTTTAATACAAACATCCTAATAAGGAAAAAAACTAAAATTATAAAACTCTGTGCACTTTTTAAAAATCATTGGTATGGTAACTGGGAAAGCAAATTTATAAAAAAACAAAAAACCAAAACTACCTATGGGAGAAGGACAAGTCCTTGTTCACCAGCTTTAATTCCAGGGAACCAGTAAAGGAGTACACCTGCTGCTGGACAAAGGACTTTGCAGAAAAGGCTGACCTTTTAACAATCCCAGCCTACCATGGATTAGTGAATACCCATGAGCCCAAGCACAAGCAAGTCCTCACTACTTGAAATGCTCAGCTTTATTTACCAAGTATTCAACCTCAGGATAGCAACTGGACATAGCCTGAGAGGTCAAGAGATTTCCAGTGCTCTAAGAACACTAACGCAATTGGGAGAGGCTACCTAGATGCCAGCCCAGGTCAGAGATGGTGTCTTTCATAATGAAAAATTTTGAAAGCAGTAGTAAAACCAAACTAACTAAAGCTGTAATCCAACCCTAGTTTAGCTCAGTTGCTGACTGGAACAGAGAGATCAGTCTGTGATGGGAGATAGATTCCACCTCATTCTCTAGGGTTTAATTACATACAATGCCTAGCACATGATACGCTAACAATGGGACATTAATAGGAGCAGGAAACTAAGGCACCGATAAAAGAAAGCCAACCAACAGAAACTGGCCTATAGATGACTTAGATACTAGAAATTACAAAGACTCTAAATAATCACCATAAATTATAGTAAGAAATTGGAGGAGAGGAGAGAAATGATCAGCCAAAGTCTGAAATATTTCAAGATAGAACTTCAATATATTTTAATACAAAAACAAGAGCAGAGTGCCAGTGGCTCATGCCTGTAATCCCAGCCA